TTTAAATTCCACTTTTTTTTAATGGTGTTTACTTTTAATTATATCTTGTATTTTCATAAAAGCAGTCTTCCAGCTGTGAAGTGATGGAATCCACTACAGCATAATGCCAAACTTATCTGCAGAGGATCTTCAAATGTTTATGTTGAAAAGTAAATCATGCTGTTTAGGTAGTGTGAAACACCACTAAACACTACTACTACTTATAACTGATTAACAGCCATGAAAAAAGTAATGAGCACCAAACCATTAGAGAAGGGCTGTGTCAAATCAACAAATGTTGGTTCTCCCTGCAGCATCTTTTGGTAAAACACGGATGGAGGCCTCGTCTCCAGACCGTTAGAGTGTCACAGATTTATGAAACAATAACATTTTAAAATCTGAAATATCTTTCAGCAACATTTATGGCACCTTTAAAAGAGAAATATTTTCAAATTATTGAAAACTTGATTTGAACTAGGTTGTTTTACAAGTAATGTGGCTGGCCTAGATTTATGGTGCAGTGTAGGAATAACGGGAAAGGAGCAAAAGGACAAAAGAAACTCTAACTCCTCTGACGATGTTCCTTCTAAATTACTGACATTAATTTATATACTGATAGAAAATCCAGAAAAAGCTTGTTAATCAGAATCAGCTGTTTTCATGGTGTTGGAGTAACTGGTAACGTAGCAATGCCTCGACTCTACAGAGGTGACGCCCTAACTCTAACTTCTCCATTATGGATATAGGCCAGAAGTTTAGCTGCACAATATCAAGAGCATGGAGGAGATTCCAGGAGACATTTGATCTGACAGAGCTGGACAGGTCAGATGAAAGTCCCCAACCAATAGAGAGTTTGTGTCATGATCTTGGCCATATAGGCTGTGTTTGAATCCTTTTTCTCTCATCTGCTTTGCTGCGCCTTGCGCTCATCATTTCTAATCAGATCTGCCTGTTTCTGCTTCTATTTAAGCCATCTGTTCCCAGCCATTGGTGCCAGATTATTTGAGCTTCTAGCGAGACTATTTCAACTGTTCTCTGATGTGTTTAGTTCTGCCTGTTCCTGACCTGTTTCTGCCCCCTGGACTCCGTTTGCCTGTCCTGTGTTTTCGGGCTGTTACCTGGATTCTGCCTCTTGTCAACCTTGGACCTGTCTGCGGACCACGGCTTGGATTTGTCCTCCTGGATCCTTTGGTTCCTCTTTATGCTCTGGCTGCTGCAGGCCACTGCTTCTCTTTTCTCCTGGATCTCTGCTTCCGCCTCAGTAACAAGTGCCTCTGGACTTCACTCCTTCTTCATTACTCAGACTGAACTTTACCAGAGAATCCAGTGAGCCCACTCCAGTCAACGAGCAGCCATACATAGCTTTTAATAAACTCTTGTTTTAAAAAAAACTGATCTGTCTGCTTGAATTCTGGGTCCAACGTTGTGAGCCTTCTGACAGTTTGGCCCCTTAAGGCAGGGATGACTATTGACAGAGCCCTGCAAAAGGTTGCCAAACATTTCAGCCTGGGACTCCAAAAATTACCTCCTAAAAACACTTTGTTGTTATAACTGCAATAAAAAAAATGAATTTTTAAATTAACATTTAATTATTTCATTCAGAATTTTAAATATATCTGATTATTTAATTGGACATTTTATTATTTAGTTGTGCATTTTATAATTTCAAT